TAAGGACTTCCGGACAATTTAAATATGATATTTAGGTATGTTTCTTACCCATGAGCAATGCCCTAAAATATTGGTAGAGAGTTCCGGGACACCCTGTAGTTTATTAAAATAACAAAAACGTAACACACACACACACAACGCCTTGATTAAACCCGCAATGCTTTTAGTCTTGTCATTGAAGTTTGGCAAACCTTCTCGGACTCTGGCCAAACTGCCGATCATGAACCCCTGGAGTGTAGAATGTGATCTTTACCCAAAACGTTTTTAAAACCAGAATAATAGTACATAGCCTAATAAGACATGACCTATTGCATAGAGATTTGGTTCCACTTTGGCAACAATATGTACGAGAAAATATAAATTATGTTGTGATACATCTTTCATCGTTAAACACGGGTAGTCCTTATTATCGCATGCATTTATGTTTTCCTTTCTTGAAATTTGCCGAAGTCTGAGCAAACAGTTTTCTAACAACTATAATTATATGGTTATAAAGATGTTTATATAACTATCCTGTTTATTTTGTACAAACACGTTTATACAGTATAACATGGTTTTCCGTTCTAAGGTAGTTTCCCCAAGGGACTACAAACTTCTTGGCCCTTGGTTCAGCGACGTTCCTGCTTCGTTCAATATTCAATTGAATTCCCTGGCGACCACTTATGAATACGCTACACTATTTGAATGCATTCTTTTTTATTCAGACTGTATTAAGCGGATTTTTGATATTTTGATAAATCCCTCACTTATCCAATGCATAAGGTATACAGTGATGCAAAAATTGATTGAATTCTAAAATATTTAAAACTGACATAATCTTATTATAATTTTTACGATAAGATTTGTATTTATAATTAATTGTTTTGCTTCCATCGTTGAAATAATGAATTCATAAAATATACCTTTCCGCTATTTATGAGAAAAGTCAATTACAAAACAAAATATAAGAGTCACTTACACTTGTTAGAGGAAAGGTTTCACGTAGGAAAAGACAATATATTAAAACCACGAGATAACTAAATGTAACTATACTGTATTATAAGATTAATCTCATAGTGTTAAGATACAGTTATATATAACATATTATAATACTAATGAAAGCACTTTGCAACGTAAACCCACTTAAACCACTTAAGGGTTTAAACCAGCATCAATTTGCACCAATAGTAAGTTCCCCCAATATATTAAAAAGTTATTCAGCTAATCGGAATTATTATTTTTATTTATTTCATCCCTTTACTTCATTAATAACCAAATACAAAACTAAAATTCTGTTTACGTTGTTATTAAATTCCTTATGTACTTGTACACACTTAATGTATTAAATACAATCTGAATAAATTTTATTACTCCGGTAATCCTTTAATCCATGAGCAAAAACTATTACTATTAAAATCCTGAGGTAAAGGAAATATATGATACTTAACTATCTGTTTTCATTCCACACTCTCTACTCATAAAACAACAACACTACACGGGGCGAGAGTGGTTTGCAATGTGTTTGATTCATGTGTTTACATGTTATGTTATCTGTCTGGTGTGATTGATTAGTGTTTATATTCTCTACAGATGCAATGTGTTCAGCTGTACAGTTACAGATAAAAACAACTCATTTGTTTTGTAAAAACCTTATCTCGCATAAAAAAATTAATAGACCTATTTGTTAGCAATTTACAAAATCTCCTTTATGGCAATACTCAATCACTACTGCTGACACTTAACCATAACTTGAGACTCCATTAATAACGAGTAGAGAGAGCTGCAACAAGATGCTTTAATGTTGATGGTTTAATATAGAAGAAGTTAATTAATTAGTATTAGTGGTAGGGAGCACAGCTGATAGATTATGTTTACTTGTGAATAAGTTATAAAGCACATTACAGAAAACATGCATGCAAACGGAATTTTGGTCATAAATATTTTATTTGTAGCTAAATTATGTGTACCTATTATATGTATCGTCTAACTTATGTTTATGGATTATTATATTATTTTACCATTACGGGATGAAACTTTATTAAAAGGCCATTGGCCAATCAAATTCAGCAAAGTAAAAGAACAAAGTCAAAATTTTATAGGAAAAGCTGTGACTGAATTTTTGATTTAGTAGAGAAGCTTACGTAAAATATAATATGACTGTCAATCTAAGTGAACTTGTAAAATAATTATATTTTTAAACCTTTAATATTGTTAATTTTTTAATAAGTTAGCAAACATTTGAAAATACGTAAACTTTTTTTGGTTCTATAGGCATACTTCATTAATATCAAAGTAGATTTTCCTATACCAAGAAGTTAATTTAAATACATAAAGAGTTATATCTTTGCACTGAATTATTTAACCTTTTTTAGTTTTTTTTTATGTTATTATTGAGAACAAAAGTTGCATGCATTGCAACTTACACAGTTAGTCTATTATTCACATTTTCTCATAGCAATAAAATAAACTTCAGTGTATCATTCCTAAACGTTATTACTAGCTCTATCTCATAACAAACAGAGAGATTAGGTGAGGACAATGTTTTTTTTTAAAATATAATTTTTATATTATTAAACATTTAATAATTCCAACGGTGATGAAGAGCTACAATTCTGCAAAACGTTAGATAGATTTTTCTTTACGCTAATATTATGTCCTTAGAGCTGCCAATTTAATTTTCTTGTTTAAGGAGTTAATGCCATTTATCGACTATTGTTTTAGTTGTGTTCTCATAAAAGAATCTCGACATATACTTAACCCAACTTTGACATACCAACAAAGAATAAAAAAAAAAAAATATTCAACAGTTTTTAGCATAATGAAACTTACGTTGTATGTTTTAACCAATAATAATAATAATAATTAGTTACATAGTATGTTTTATAATGTAGTAGTATTTTCTTCTAAATATACCCCTGCCCTCTAGAACAATATTAAATGCTTATTTAGCAATTATCAATGTCTAGAGCAGTTAGAAAGCTCATCCAAATTTCAAATTGAAATTAATAGAAATCATGTAAGATTAAATCATAATAGCGTATAATTAACAGTGATAATGGTATGGGCATTCAGAACATTTCCTCAATAAATATAACCGTTTGTATACCACAATTTCTTATAATCATTAGTAGAGTGGATCTTCGTAAATCATGATATTAATTTTGCCCACGTAAGATGACTATATGGTCTACCAACAATCAAAATGTATTTTGAATGAACACCAGATGGAAACAGTGAGGGCATTAAGTCACACAATTAGCAATAAACATTATTAAGGTGGGTCGTGATTACAAATATTACAACCAACACTACCCTAGTGGTCTTGGAAAGCCCTAATTGCCTATTACATTGATATACTGCCCTCTCTACTGCTTCCAGGTTGGGGAGTGAAACTCAACTATCGACTGGAATGTTTCTACCTCGAGAAGTATTGTAAAGCTGTCTAAAAACTGCAAACTGCAATACTGTTTACTGTATAGTGGATAACGTTAGGTGGCAAATCAAACATGAGTATTTTAATTATTTTTCTAAGATGCTATAAAGTGCTTCCAAACTATTTAAAGATTTAACACAATTAAAAATGTTTTATTTCTCACGAGTAGAAATGAGTATGAGGAAGTTAAAATTATGAATCATTTCCTAGAATAAAAATTACGTGGGGATAAAACTTATGAAAATATACAATCTTAATTCATTTATATATAACACGAATTTCACATGAATATCAGATCCCATATCAACATATAAATACTGTTGAAGGACAGTATTCTGTTGGTTTTAACATAGAAGTATTTGATATTTAATTCATGGAAATGTTTGCATCGTTTCAAATATGTGCAGCTTAGAGCGTTCTGTCTGTATTTCATTATTCATATTACATTGGTTTTTATCCCTGCCAATCTTTGATTCAATCAGTTTGAACTTAAACCATGTATACATTGTTTATTTAGTAAAGTTTATTAAGTAGTATTAAGTAATTGTAAATCCATATCAATTAACATGATATGTAAATTTACGTGAGTAGAAATATTAAAAAAATTGATTGAATATAACCGCAACTTGACTTTTATGGCCTTTGTGTTTTATCATTATCTATCATTGAGATGGTAAGTATTTTGACTTAAATACTAGTTAACAATGAGTGTAGAATGGAGTGAGATGATCTGTGTTGCTTTTTACTGACCAAGATCAGCTGTTGCATTAGCAAGGAACATTTATTTAAAGCTTAATGATCAGGAACAGCTGGGCCCAGTTTCAAACGATCAAAAAACTACTGACTTTTCTCCGGATTGAACCAGCCACCTATTGATTGTTAGGTGAGCACTATAGCCATTCCTACCCAGCCAATGACTTAAATACTTACCTTGTTAATTGAGTGGATTTAAGAACGCATTTTTGATCCGTTTTCGAGCTTATTGTGTAATCAAAATATATGTAACCAACACAACTTACATAACAATGCCTGTGTAGCACTGTGGTTGGAGCAAACGGCTACATAGGCATTATTGTGTATTTCGGTTGGTTACATAATTTGTAAAATGTTATATTAAAAATTGAAGGCCCAGAAGCCATTTTTAATTGGACTATCATTAATTTATCATACTAAAAATTGATGTAAGATAAGACAAGTGTTTGGACCGTTCCCCAAAAGATTTTAAAATACCAACGACATAGATCAGCGTAAAATAAAATGTAACCTCTTTAGTAATGTTGTAGTAATGTGCTTTTATATTTTATTTATAAATATGTTACATATTTAATAAAAAAAACCCTAAACAATTGAATTGAAAAAGTGGAAAACCCTTAGATGAAAACTGGCTCTATTACAGAAGGTAATTAACAAAATGTAATCGGCGCGAGACTGTACCAGGGCTGACTGTAACAACCCCGCTGAGCGAGCGTATGTCGAGATATGCACAGATTCGCGCCCAATATGCCTGATATTTATGGGGTAATGCAGGGGAGGTGAGTTTGCGCGGCAAAACCCGCCCTTCCACCCACACCACCCTCCAGTCGTGTCGCGATCTTTAACCCGGTCGCACCCTTAACCATCTGTGAGTGCCACCATTGCCCATTGGATCTTACTGTAGGATATGATGGAAGGTGGGTTAAGTTAAATAGCTTAGTTATTGTTGTTGGAAAAGTTATAGGGGTGGTAAATAGAGGGGGGTATGAGAAGGGCGTAACCGGTTAGAGTGTTTGAGAACCTGTCTCATGGAGGAATAATTGCCTTACACACTATTGGTCGAGGTTCAGATTTTTACGTCTTAATTGTATATATTTTCTACAGTAAAGTTACTATGAGGTAGTTTGAGCAGAAAAATATAAATAGTGGAAGTATAACGTTAGTTACTCTCAAATACCACAGTAAATAAATTTTAAATAAAACCTTTGAAATTATATAGCTACAGAGTGTGAGTAAATTAATGTTTGTTGCTTAGGGTTTGCTAAATGAAAGTATAATTGTAATTTTTTTACGGACATTCAAGTATACGTTACATTTAATAATGTTTCATTTATTGAAGGTTAAAATTGTGCAATAATGTATAACAAAATTGAAGGAAATAAGTTATCAAAATGTAATCGAAGAGGGATAAATGTAACTAATAAATAAATATATTGAAAACTATAAATATTTTATGTGCTGAAGTCATCAGTATAAATGTTACAAAACAGTGTATTTTTTTATAAAAAGTTATTTCAGTAAGGAAAATGAAGAACCTAAATAGGTCCACCAATTATCAATAACAATTTTGTTTTGAAAAATATTGATAAAACATAGGTGTATCTTTATATTTTCCAGTATTTACAGTAGCCTAAACTATGATACATGAACATAAAATGTGAATTGATTAGAAGCAAAAACATTATTATGTTAGTTGTTTTGTCCTTATATAAGTGTTCATATAAATTCATGCTAATTAAAGAATATCATACTTACTCCCGATGATCAACACAGGTTGTTAAGAAAAATAAAAATTGGATAAAGTATTTGTTTTTTCCTTTTTTTACCAGTAAAACTGTTTTTGGGAAACGTATCGGCGATTTCCCCACCCCAATCCTTCAACGTTGATCACGCGAGTTGACGTCAGCGGTTAGGGCTGAAACCGAATAAATTTGGGGTAAATTGTCACTGGGGGAAGATCAAAAGGCTCCCACCAACCCCTATATTCAGCGATAAATGACAAAAATTTATAATATCCGACCTGGTGAAACTTTTGACAGGTTTCTTTAGTATATTTTGGCCATCGCTAATAAGATTTTTAATGTATATAAGGCTTGTCTATATATTTCTTTTCTTTTTTGTATCGGATTTTACTTAGAGCAAGTATTTGTAAAAAAAATATTTTCAACAAATTTCGTAAGTGTTATTAGGTTTTCCCAATTATAACGAAATATAATTAGAAGATAAAACTTCTTGCACTAATTATACACTATGGCACTAGATATATATAAAAATATGGTGCTACAATAATTTGTTTTAAATTCCATACGTATAAATGTATTACATTTTTGCCTAAGGCATTAAGCCGATCAAAGAGGTAAGAAGTGTTAGCTAAAGGCCGAGTCATTATTCTACAGATAATTGATTACCTTAACTTTTGCAATAACCTCACTGACCTGTTGGTTTTCCAGTTTAACTTTAGATTAATAATATTTATTTTTAAAATATATTAATATGAAATAAATATAAATTATATTGAATAATTTTTATACTATTAAGTATAAAATAATGTGTAATTTTGTTTTAATTTAGATATTTGCCGAATCATTAATAATAATAGTTAATTTTAATTGTTCATTTGATAATAGTGTTGAAAAATACAGGTTAAATACTAAGTGCAAATAATTTTAGCATACAAAATGTTATCATTTTACACTTAAAATGTTATTTATTGTAAATATATATCACCCAGCTTCAATCAAACATAGTTCAATTTTCTTTTACCTCCGTATTATGTAGAGTATCAGAGTTGGTTTGGATACCAATGGATTGCATCTTCGTAATCCAAATGTTGCTTGTGTCACAACTTGTTTCAACTTGTCAAGAAATTATTTTCAAGCGTCAAACGATGTCATAACCGCTTCATCAGGTCATTGAATCACATACGGAACATAGGTAAAGCACACACACACACACGCACATGAACAATAAAAACACAAGCACATACATTGGAATGATAAAATGGTACATAAACTAACAAAAACCGTGAAAATGGCACTAAGAAAGATATGCCACGATTTGATAAATATAGAGTCAAGACTGTCAGAACATTTTGACAAGCTGAAACTTGTATTCAAACTAATTAAATTTAATGTCCCTTGTTTTTATACAGACAATCAGACAACAATAAGATGTAACATTTTATAGCTTTTCTTATACAATGTATGAGAATAAGATAAGTCAGAGACGTACCCAAAGTAAATTAAGTAGATTATAAGATGCAAAGGATAAGATCAAAGCAACGAAACATGAAAGAACCGCAAATATTACATAATGCTTTCATAACTTGGCGCGCTTTAATATCGTCTTCAAAACCCATTAAGTTGATGGCGTACCTTAGAGCGCATTCATTCGAGACTCCTTCATTGTGCAAAATACCCTCCAGTGATACAATTGTGACCGACCTGTTTTATTTTAGAATTAGGATCAATTATTTTCTGCTTATATAGGTTTGCTTTACATAATCTTAGAAGAAAGATAACATTGAAGACTTGCAATGCATTTCAGAGAGCCTCACGTAGTAAAAATTAGCCTTAATCTTTCTGTAAGGTTAATTTTATATGAATAATATTAGAGGAAATATTTATCATTGTATCTTCATTTGACAAAGTGCGGTTTTATCGGTTTGAAATTGGCCTATAGCAACTAAATAACCTACACTGCGGCAAACCTTCAAACAAGCGAATATTTGTTTATCCGGTTGGATATTAAAGAAAATAGTCCCTTAAAATTGTCGGGTTTTTTCTTTTTAAAAACTGTATTTTAACTGAGTACTTAAGTTTGCTGCTACAGGGAAGTTAGTTATAAAAAAAATGTATAGCCAAGTACGAATAAACTATTTTGACAAATTTGATCAAAATATACCCCTAAACGTGTAAAATTCAACATTGTACTCCACAAAAATTATATGGGAATTATTAAGTTGCGGTTTTTTATGTTCTCCAAAACCAAAAAGCGCACAGCAACGCTTTATGTTACCAAATCATTGAGCTTTGTAAGCTTTACAAGATAGTTTATATTTCGGAGGTCAAAAATGGGAATTTTTACCTCATAAAATCCCGTCCTTGTCCGATCGCCGTCCCGGGTCTGGATCTTAGTATTATGCCTAGGAAACTGCTTATTACCTATGGGAAATTTACTAAAACCACTCTTTATCACGGAATACGCTTTAGTGCACTTTATGGTAAAATGTTTTCCTTGGATCTCTATTTACGTTTGGAATCGTAATTGTTAACAAAGCGAATAGTTTCTTTAATATCTTTAGATTACTCAACTTGAAAAATTAAATTTAACACACCTTGTGACTGAAAACAATCCCAAAACGAAAGATCTAATGGAATTTATAGAATAATGTTTTGTTACCTTACAATATCCTTGTTTTTCGTCAATGAACTACACGTTTCGTGGCAACTGCCACACCCTCAGGCCCATCCTCCTCTAAGATTCATCATATATTTTTCTAGATTCTTAAGTAAGATTACAATGTGTTGAATCACTATAAAATGCGTTTGTTATATTTACTTCAACGGCAACTGTTACTGTTTGTTAAACGATTTTAATGTGTGTACAGATTTCAAATTGGCTTCTCAAGTATAACTCTCCTTGGTAAAAAATACAAGAATATTCAGTTCAGCTGGGCTCAGTCGATAGTAGAGTAGAACGTTGAATATTCCACGTGTAATAGGAACCTTGGGATTCAGCTGAGAGCAAAACTTCCCTCGTGAGGGTAAAAGATCTTAACTCTTAATACTTTAACAACAAATTTTGGAATGCTTCAACAAATTGAAAAACTCCTTCGCCTCAAAAACTTGTAGTTTTGAAAACTAAGATTAAACGTTTTCCTAGCGTCAGCTTCCTAATAGTATTTGTTTATGGGAGCCCCCGACTAAATTGGTTAACCCCTCGTCTTCAAAGTTACACGTTATACATCTCTGAAACAAAGATTGAGACTACTGAACGTACAAGGAATACGCTTGAAGAAGGGAAGTCTTAAAAGATGCGAAAGATCTATCCTTGTTATAAACAGTATTGAACAGTTATGATTACTGAGCATTTGTTTAGAAATGATTTCTTAAACTGTCTAGGGCTTAAAGATTTTATAAAACCTAGAACTGAGTTCAATAGCTTATAACGTTAAGTTAATAATGCTTCATTAATCATGCTATGCTCCTATAAATCTCCATCCACCCTAAAGGTTCTAAATATCTATTATGTTTCTATTTAAAACCAGCTAAAGATGTTACGAGGTATGTGATTTAAAGTACCACTTTGACAATTCTTTTAATGCAATACATTCACTGATTGTAATTATTAGAATTACAGTACATATTTACACACTACAGTATACCTGGAGCTTAATTTATTTTAGCCGAAATTCCATGGAAACTTTCAAACAACAAGCAAATGACAAGACAAACAAGAAAACTTTATCGTCTGTTGTTTTAGGATGAGAGAACTTAAGTAAAGACTTAGATGGGAAAATGTTCCTAAAATCTTCGTTGTTTACATTTAACTAAAATATTCAATTTAACATTTATTAACAGTGATATGACAGAGTATTAATAAAGCATCATTGACAAATTTGTATCATCACACGATGTTATTAGTTGTAAACATAAAACAGGAATAAGATTTTTGTTATTATTTTCTCTTGATATGTTTAAACTATGGTTTAACAATGCTTATGCTACCCAAACCTCGTTATATAGTTAAATAGATTAAATTTTATGACACCAGTTATCATTAGGAACTTTCCTGACTCTCTGAAATATGCAATGCTAGTCAAACAGATCCAGCCGTAGTTTATACAATAAACATCGTCATGAAAAATGTAGTCTATGATTTGGCTAATGACTAAGAAGCTGGACTGTTCAAAATTAATTTCCAGATTAAATATGGTATTTAAATTTGCCGTTTTGTAATTGTTATCAGTAGCAATTATATATGCAATTATATTTGTGAACCTATTTAATAAACATCATTACACTCCTAACGGGAATTATTTTGTTTACAATTATCACAAATACACCTTTGTCTTCCAACTACAAAAGTTACCAAGCTATTTCTCCCCTACGCGGAAGAAAGTTTCCCTCACCGACCATAAAGTAGCAAACTAAATAACTCATGCGTAAGAGTACTTTGGGGACCCTGGGGTCTTAAACTTCACGCTCACCGTAACAAAGAAACAGGAAGAGGAAAATGCATTGCATACTCCAAATTCGAACTAAGTATCAATCTTTTATATAACATGGCCATCTTGTATTAGAAAGATGTCTATAGATGTCTTGATCCTAATTGATGACTTTTTTGTCCTAGGAAATTAGGCATGAATCCGGAATTGTTTTTCACATTACTTCAGGCTTGACCTAGGGGTTGTAGCTTTATTACTTGGATAAAATCCATTTGTGATTTGGCGGTATTTGAACCCAGGACCTTTGGAACCGAAGTCCCGCGCTCTAACCACTCGCTTGCTCCCCGCTAATCGATGACATAGACTAATGTAATGTGCTAATAAACAATGGGAAGTTTGTACAATTTAAATTAATTTGACTCGTCACCTACGTAAAATGAGGTCACATTGTCCTGAGTAGAGTTAAAATTGGTTTTAACTATTAACCCACCTATTCTCATATTGCTCAGCTTTATAAGTTATGTATTACATATATGTATTACTACTAACTGTAAATAAAATTTTCCGAATAATAAACTAATTATGATCGTTAATGATTCAATAGGTAAATACCAACGACGAATATACTGATATTGGTTCCTTTATGAGCGATTGGTTTTATATTTTCTAACAAGCAGTTTACAGAAACGCTAGGTGATCAATTAACTAATTAACAGCTATATACGCTTCAACTAGTTATGGGTGGTTACCATACGTGGTTTAATGTAAACGATCAAATATACTGATAAATGCAAATGTAAAATTGATTGTGATCTAAATAATGGGAACCATCTAGTTTGATAAATCATTGAAACACAGACACGTTGAATTGAATGCTATTAGGTAGCTTACATTATGTTAATTATAATATTGAAAAATAAGTATTGCACAGCAATATTCTGATATATTCTGACTACTTTATCCTTCAATCAATTATGTACCTCGATTACTACTATTAGTTGTTGTATGAAGCTTAATTCACCTTAATATGAAAAGAGGGTTTTGAAAAGGGCTGATAAGAAAGAGTAATACTGCCTCAGGGGAATTAATGTTGGTGAAACGAGAAAAATAAAGTCCCTGTGACCTGATTCCATTTGTATACCTCTGATCTAGATTCTTTGTAGATTTGGAACACGATTTGGTGCAATGTGAATTGTGCTAAATGCAAAAGTAGATAAATTAGTCTGTGGAAACATATGTAGGTTAAATTTTATTCTTATAAAAGATGACGCATATGAATAATTTTCATATTCGTAAAATAAATAACAATAGATTTTTTTTAGTGTTTTTGCCTCTGTATTTAGTAAGCGTGAAATGATCGTACACGAGAAATGTTTAAATATTTGCATGTACTAATCCTAATACAAAAACCGATATTTAAACAATCACAAAAAATTAAGGTCTTAAAGGTTAATTGGAGATATTGCGGCATACCGATTGTAGCATAACTATGTTATAGATACGATTTTTCAGAACGGAAGTTGGTTGCCATTATGCTAACCAAAGATACTTAAATGAAGGTGCTTAAGCAGTTTTACGAAATGTGGATTTATACTATGAAACATGTATTACCATGCAACAAAGATGGCCAATGGAGAAAACCTTATTGAACACACGTGACGGAACAGTTATTTTTGTAACTAGTGTGCGAAGTGGCACATTGTTTAACATGAGAGAAATGTTTACGTTTCCGCAGGCGAGTGTGGAAAGTTTCTCATGTGCAGCAAAGGCACTTTGCACTTGCGTTACACAAAAGTAATTAAACACAGCAATGAGCTACTTTGCGTGCTATAATCAGTGCAAGGAAGCCCACTCTGTCATATAACTGTAGGAACAATATGTTCTCACCAAACACTAACTACCAGGAGCCCCCCCCCCTCCCTCCCAAAAACATCGAGGAAAAATCCTCAAAACTAGTGTGTAAAGATCTTTAAAAATCCCAACAGAACGATACGTTTGTGCAATTGGTCCTGGTTCATGAATATAACGTTATCCTGTTTCTAAAACTTTCGAAAACGTAAATTCTTGTTGTAAAGCTATTGAACTAAAATATCCACGTTTTATAAAAAAATGTTTTCTATACACAATATTGTGTGGTGTATTGTTTGTATTTAGGCATGAACTAGTTTGACCGGATGAGCTTGATTTAGCTACGCTCACAGTTTAAACTTTGCTTGTTTACTTTGTCCATTCTCCAAAGTGGTTAGACCATTTAACATTTGTTCATTCTTGGCTTGGTGTTACAAAACTGTTTATGTCAGCTAATATTACTTATGGTTTATAAGAGGTATACGGCAAAACAAATGGGGCTTTTATTATAATATGCCGTTGACAAAATAACGAAGCAGACTTAACACATTAGCTACCAACTATACTCATTCCTCACATAAAAAGTGTGACGGTTGGCAATGGACATTAATAGGTTTAATTAGTTGTAAGGGTAAAAAATAAAGTTACAGTTTATTGCATTTGATAAGTGAATATATTTGGTTGACTTCATGGGCTACTTGAATTCCAGATTCTTGACGTGATTATACCTTAGGTTTGCATAATTCATTTAGGTAGAAACAATCACAATGGATTTACTGAAAATAAAAAGAACTCTATGGCTAATGTTAAGTTTAAGCATTAAGTTAAACTGAACACATTCAGAATTTGTGTTAAAACTCTATGCAGGCTTAAATTCTGAAACTATTTTGTGTAGTCCTTCTTCTATAATCATCTAATACATTACTCGCAGGTTGCAGAACTGGCTGGAAAGGCTATAGCTGAAGATGGACTCAGCTTGAAGTAACCAACCACAGAACGATGGCGATGCTTATTGTGACCGCACTTATCTTGGTGCATTTCGTCCACGCCCAAGTTAACTGGACACCTATATACGTTGATGGCAAAAGTAAGTTATCACCAAATACGATTTCTGTAACTCATGTCCAACAATAACTCCTACTCGTCTTCAAAAATATCTGGCAAATGATTGAGATGTTATGTTTTGCACATACTGCATAGTTCAGCTCAGTGGTAAGGACTTTAACTCAGCCATGCATGGATCGAAGCTAGTTACTTGCAATACCTCATTAGTGCAGCAACCATTGACTTGCCAATAAGACTGCCGTAGTGGTACTTACTAGTCTATGGTAGTATTCAACAGTCTACGACAACATTCAGACACAGGTGAGAAGAATGTATTCCTATTCGAACAAATTCCAAACATTAAGTTAGGCTGTTCCTACTATGTTTGGAACTGTGTAGAGGGCTAAATATTTTAAGCCTTTAATTACCTGTCATCATAGGCTAATAGTACAGTGGACTAGTTAAGTAGCAATAGCCTAACATATTAACATTGGTTTATAATTGATTTAAATTGTCTGTTTTTAAAACATATTCTTGGTCTTCAAGGGGCGACTGATGCATCAACTGACTTGCAAAAAGTTAGAACGACGCTTTTATACAATGAGATTGTAGCTTGACAGTGCCTATTCCTAATTGGCCCAAAAGCAATAAATATTCTTATTCTTCTTATTATCTAAGATGTCACAAAGTTTTTTCCTAGCTCAGCTGTTTTCATAGTTTAGTTTGATTGTCCCACGAAGAAAAATATACGAAATTAGCCAATACAGTAATAGTATATTTCATTACTAGGACCGAAAGTGGCATTTTCCGTCGCGCGCCCAAGTTTTTGTGTGAGGCGAAGCCGAACACAGGGAACCCCAATTTCACGTGCGAGGCGAAGCCGAGTATGTGAGAGCTATTTTCACGTACGAGGCGAAGCCGAGGACGGGAATAATGGAGCAAGTGCCGGATAATAACTTTCTGTACGAGTTATGAACGATACTTTTCATCACGACGCAAAAATACACAAACACAGAATAGCAGACCTCAGTATATTAAAACAATTTGATTTCTCAATAAATTTGATTGAACATCAAAATAAAATAAAATCTTTTAAAAAGAAACCTACGTATATTTCTCAATAAATTTTGTTTAAACATCAAAATAAAAGAATAACACAACTTTTAAAAATACATACAACTGATTAAAATCATTAAATTAAACCGTAACTAAACACTGGCGCGCGTAGTGAATAAATGGAGAACTAATTGAGAGCGAGGGAAAGTAAATTTAGAGCGAGGGAAAATCAGCTGATCGATTTTCCCTCGCCCTAAATTAGAGCTTGGGAAACGACTACTTTCATTGATATCAGCTGTTATCGAACATAGTTACTTTCGTTAAGGAGTGATGAAAAACATTTTTCCTACAGTCACCCGACAAAGTTGGCTTCCTTGTACTGTTTATAGTACAGAAAGCTGCTAATTGCTGCATATTTATACTTTGCCGTACGGTTTATACTTTGTCGCACGGTTTATACTTTGCCGCACATCAGGATTCCAACGAAACAACACAAAACAGCGTGGTTCTATTATGCACATAATCCGTGTACGCTTGGAAATAGGTTGGCAACACTTAAAGATAATTATACTATGAGCAGCTGATTGGCTATTATAACTACGATTTAACCTGTCATTTCGTGTTTATAGTTTCGGTATTTCTAAACTTTCTGGATTTTTCTTTTAAACGTTTTTAAAACATTCCTACGATCTTAATAAACAAGGAAATACCTTTATAGCATTTTTTTTAGGCGCGGAAACCACTTCAAATTACAAAAACATACGGAACTATATTCTCAAAACGCGGAGCACATTTCTTGCAGAGGAAAAATAGCGGAGTGATACGGACCGCGGGTACTACTTTCTCTAGGACACCATTTGTGTTGCCAGCTGAACCTAAAAACGTGTTGTATAGTGTTTGAAAGACTAATTATTTATATGCTTTATAGTGACTGTAGGAAAAATATAATGTGTAACACGAGTGAAAAAGGCCTTTGCTGCACTCGAGATCATTCCGCACTCGCCTGCGGCTCGTGCGTAAACATTGCTCTCGTGTGCAGCAAAGTGCCACTTTCACCACTAGTTACACAAATAACCATTACCAACACTGCACTTTGCAATGTATAACGATCTACGCCTTATTGCAGACCAAGTGGACATGTGGACAGCCAAGACCAAGGGCTGCAGATGCGGTTTTGACTCTTCTCGTCAAGACTGCGCGTGCTGTGTCAAGGACGGAGGTTGCCAATGCGGTGCCGACTCCCCTAACCGCTGCGGACAGTGTGGTCTGCAAGACCATTGCACTAGCAGTACGTTTTTAATTGCAGTAGTAGTAGTGTAGTTTCTCTACGGTTTACGTAGATTGCAGGCCTGATTTTGTGGTTAAACTTTGGGACTCCTGTATTAGAGATCTTTGTGTAAGTATAACCAAACAGAAATGGGAGTTCATTACGTGATGATATACAGTTTGCCTCGTGATCCCTCTTTTGCTAGTTAAACTTCTCTGTTTGGAAATGATAAGACTTGTAAGCAAGGAGGACTAGACTGAATATGTTTTATTAATCTTTTTCTTTTTCTCCTACCTCCCCGCACTGAAAATATACCATGGTAAAACTCTTGCAGGAATTTTTATAAAATATTGGAGGTCTTAAACCTCTTTAATCATTCTAATCATTCTAATAAACATAATTAAATACACTTTATAGTTTTGAAAATGTGGAAAGCAATATTAAAAAAAATATACAATTGATTTAGTGATACATAGTATTTGAACACACAATAGATAAATTAGTTAACTCTTAGCCTTGTTAGGTGTAAAATGTGCAAAGCTTTGAGATTGTTACAAAAAGATGTTTCAATCAAATTTTCTTTCATATCCCGAAGACATTGATGAGAAGTCATATTAATTACGTATCATATTTCCTTTGGTTCTATTAAATACAATTTTTTTGGGAGGGGGGCTTTATATAATCTAGAAGGTATACATAAGTCAAAATATTAGCCTCATCTAAAATGTTGTATAATATAACTGTGCATCTATTTTATTATTAATAATGGAGAAATTGATGTTGGACGCAATAGACGCGAACAGAAGAAACAGCCGATCTTCTATTTTTCCCCCAAACATAACACAAGTGATAATAAATAAAGTCCTACTCATTAATATGCGTTTCGCCAAGACAACTAAGCCAATACAATGTATTATGTTTGATAACAGACCAGCCTTTCATCGAACCGCAATAAGTCAAAGGCCGAACGCAATAACAGATGTGAAAATACCGCCGTTATTAAACACAGGTAGAAGGTCACAATTTATGACTTGAATAACGGTGGCGTTTCCCTTCGGCGGAGATTGCTTTGTGGATTATTTTACTTCTCCATAACTCTCTCGTCCCCTCGGAGTCGTAACACAGGAATTCATTCGCACGTAGTAAAATAAGTCTTGAAGCTGCAGCAATGTTTTTTCAGGGTACCATTTGTTAACGTTACGTCCGATTTTAAGGTATTTTTCTTAAATATTTGTTTAACGTTGACACCCCTTACTTGTCCTTGCACTAACTCGTTCACATTGGTCTTGACAGTACGTATAACCAGTATAACGTATTAAGCGGAGCAAGATATGAGCCGTTATAGTGCAACGATAAACTGTATTGATTAATGTTTAATGTAGGTCCTAGGACCTAGGACTCAACCAACGACATCACTGTGACAGATTCATAGTACGCCCCACTTTTGAGCAAACGACTCACCGATTAGAGTTTAAGATTTTTAATGTATATTTGCAGTGTCAACAAATGTCATATTTCCAATTTCTTACAATACCACAGGAAAACTTACTTGGAATTTGGAGTAATTTGTGTAAATAAATCAACTCAAATCTATGAATTCTCCTCATGAATTAATGAACTGGCGAACATGTACTTTAGAATGTGTTTTAGTATTTAATAAGTAATAACATTATTTGTTTGCAACCTCAGAAGATGCAACCAACTGTTGTTTGTGAGGCTTTTTCGGTTATTGGTCTCATTGGGTGAAAAAATATTGGATTTATATCAGAAAGGCAACAGGTTTAGAAATGAAAGTAACACAGTAGAAAAGTACGCTAAACCAGGTTTTAACCGACACCTAATATAATAGTGATATATTACTCAAAGTATTTCACTTATGTTTATTATTATGTACAGATTTTAATGTTTAACAAAACTTGTATTGTTACAGTGTGCAACATAACTCTAGATGCTAGAATCCTTTTGGCCAAGTCCGGCAAGACGTACGGTCAGATAAAGTCGCCCAGTGTGGAAGGTCCGGCCTTCTGTTGGTACAGACTGTTACCAGACTCTGGACAGAGAGTTGAGATACAGATATACAGACTCGTCAACACCGGCAGGTTCAACGGAACTGGGTAATTATTCGTCTTCAACATATAATAAAAAACTCCGGTATTTCATTAGCAAGAGAAAGGAAATTAGATTGTTATACATTCACAAATAAGCAGCAAAATACTTTCACTATCATAATAATAATAAAAAATCGCATTTCAGTTCTTATATAGTTGACGCAGTTTAGTTGACGTTTCCCATAAGATAACTGAGGAATACAAGTTAATGATACATAGTTTCTTTTGCTGATACTGTAAAAAAAAAACATTTAAAATTTAAAAATGCATTTAATTTCCTTTTATGGTTAAGTACGTTTTACTTTATATTTTTCAAGTATTATCTACAATGGTGTTGATTATTTAATTAAACAGATTCATAGCATATTAATAAAGAAATTATGGCTATGAATTCCTAGCTAAAGCTGTAACCAACAACAACTCGTTTACCAATTGAAATAACTGAAACAGAGTTTTTTTCAGTTGTGAGTCCGGCTTCCTACAGCTAGTGGACGGAACAGAATCAATACCAAGATTGACTGAGACGCAGATTTGTGGAGGCAATGATCGCTATTCCCCACCAGTCGTGCTGTTTGGCGACAAAGGACCGGCCTCTCTCGTGTTCTAGTAAGTGCTTTCTGTTTTCCAAAAATATTTAGAGTGGTTTAAATATCTTTGTGAAATAAAAAAAAAATCCTGAATTATTTGCTTCTAATGGACTTGGTATTTTTATACTTCACGGACTGTTGGTTAAATTACCATTACACATTTTACTATAATGCATTATATGATAAAACATTAATATAATAGAAATTGTATGCCAAGGTCTGATGTAAAATTTTTAAAAAAGTTAGTGAAGTGGCAAAACAAGATTTTTCTAAGAAGTTAGATTATCTATTGATTTGGTTGTAGTTATTATCAAAATCTCGCAACTGAATTGATGTGATGATAATAAAATGTAATTCACTGTAGATGGACTTATTCTTGTTTTTTATGGATTTTATGCTGTCCTGCTTTAGCGTAAAAGAATTAACAGATTATAAATAATCCCAAAACGAAAATAGCCCAATTAACCATAATGACATCTATTTTGTAGTAAGGAAATGGTTTTTGGTGGCCCGTTGGTAAAAAAGAACATTAACCAAATATTACCAATCCCCAAGTTTCTAGAGATGTATTACTTGAAAAGTGTGATGTTGACGTTAGTGTCCAAGCTCAAAACACGGTTTTCAAATAACTTTTAAGCCCATTGAGGTTCAAATAGTTTTGCTGATCATCACTCTTTAGCCTTTGAGGCTAAATTCACGATTTAAATAGTAGTCTAATAGTATAACAGAAATTTACAATATATACAAACCGGTCGTGTGCACTTAGTTTAGCTTAGAGGTCATGTGACTTTAATTGCTTAGTTAAAATTGTTTAAGCAAAAATCATGTAAATATCAAGTATAAGATTCCTTAACGCATATGAAAAATATAACCAATGAAAATATGCAAAAAAAAAGAATACTCACCCATGCAATATGTTCATCGCCGCATGCCCGTCCCTAAAACAAACAAAGATCGTCACCAGACACCTTCTAGAACGGTAAGTAAAGGGTAATCCAATAATAATTGGACCTTAAGTACGGTTTGACAGTTAAAGGCTGATGACAATGACGTTGGACGCTAAGCTGCTCCATAATGCAACGCATCAGTCTAACGGTCGTCCACTTTATCCTATAATCTCGATGGGACCGACGGACCTCTCGTATAAACTACGGACAAGCCTGCTTTCCTCGTTGAAAAGGATCAAGATCTAATCTTCATTAATTCAATATCCCACTAAAGCTGGTAATATTTCTTGCTCAAGCCTTGGAGTTTTCAACATCGTTGTACCTTGAGTATAAAAACATCGGTCATATAATGAAATAGTGGATCAGAAAATTGTAATATGAAATAGAAAATGTTATAAATAGTGATTTAATATTGGACTACTAATTAATTATGATATCCAAGGTTGACCTAAAACGGGAACGAGACCAGGGCTTGGACCATTCCTTATAAACACTTTTGCCACTGGCATAGATAAAGAAAATAATATACAGCAAAAAGTAATAATGAAAATTGGATTAAATAATAAACAAAAATGCACTGGCAATTATAATATAAAATATATTTAAAGATTTCATATTAAGAAAGTGAGTGCTAATAAACTTATTGCTGATTTTGAACACGTTTGATGGGGTGAAATAAAACGTTATTGCATATTTTAATTCTGATATAAAATTTTTAATACAAAGCCTATTTTCTATTATTTAAATAAAATGTTAAATAAAGAAAGTGACAAATGTTACAGTTTATTCTATGTTCAAAACAAACATATTTTACAAAATTATAGTTATAACACTTTAAATAGAATCTAAAGATACCAATTGCACTTTTAATGTTAAAAAGTCAGAAGTATTCTATAATCAAGTACAGTAATGATATAAGACAATGAGACATTGTTCAAGGTAATCATCTGTTTCAGCATCAGTGAGCCTACAGTAAGGTCGCAGTTTTTGGCCTACTACAGCTTCACCGCAGCCAACAACACCCAGGGAGTCGGCTTCCACCCTCGCGGAGGTCGCAGAGTTGAAAACACAGGTCGGTAAACCTTTAGTTTGATCAAATAATGAAGACGGTTGGGTATGGGTTCTACATGCGGCCAATGAATAACACTTGTTTCATTTGCCGCAGGTAGGTCTCATCCCTGACTGCCATTGATATTTGAACAAACTATAATTAATATACTATATTGGAGTATAGCATAGCAGTTTAAGAAGTAGATTTGTTCCAAACCAAGACAGCCGCAGTTCTGTAAATGGTAACTAACCCATCATTGGCTGTTGAAATTATCCAAGATGGCCGCTAGTCTCCAAGGACTCTTAACCACCATTCTTTATGCTTACTTGAACACAATATCGACTAATAACAATCACTTGATCATAAACCACTTTATATTGTTATCCAGCCCAACAGCATCAGCGCATTTTTATGTTTTTCGATGTTTTTGTTGTTTCAGAATGTGATTGGTTGTACCAGGATTTCTCCTGTAAGGAGCCTGACTCTTGCCGTCTCGCTAGTCCAGGATATCCTGGAGTCTACAGTCCCAATAGAGTCTGCAAATTCCTCATCACTACCAGCTCTATACATACGAACGTCAAGATCAAGTTCACCGTGATGAACCTGCCTCATAGGTATGTCGAGGCTAAATTAACAACAAAATTAAACAAAAACTGTTTACGTAGCCGAGTGGTTATGGAGTCACCTTCAAGTTTAAATGTCGGGAGCTCGATTATTTGGGTTGTTAATTCTGGACCATGATGGCTTTAAATTACAATTGACTTTTGAACGGTATTGCACAATGCACATACAATAAAAATATTATTCTTCAGTAATGTTTCGCCTATCAGAAACCTCATGGTAATAGCTTAAGACAATATAATAGAATGATATGTGAGAAAATAATGGTGGAACAGAATTATTTTGCTTGAATTAGTTAAATATTTTGGCAAAATCCTTAATACCGTACCGAACTTATATCAGTAGCACAATTCAGATCATAGGAACCATTGATTATATACCCAAATAGTTGAACTAGTTTAGTTATTATTTAGTTATTATTATTTAATTATTAATATTAATATTATTAATATTATAATATTAATATTATTAGTTATATTTAGTAATTATTATTTATTTATTATTTAGTTATTATCTTTCGTTAGTTCCTGTGATTGGCAAAGTGTTCGAAACCATAATAAAATCACAATTAATGAAATTTTTTGAATACCATGGCCTAATATCTGATTGGCAATTTGGGTTTCGAACGGGTAGATGTGCCACGGATGCGGTAAGGCGCTTGGTGCAGCATGTGCTAAATTCTTATAAAAACGCCTCTCTTACCCAGGCAACTCTAGTTGACCTGAGTAAAGCGTTTGATTGTGTTCCCCATGGTTTACTTTTGAATAAACTTGAGTACTACGGTATCCGTGGCACAGAACTCAATCTTTTTAAGTCTTACTTATCAGACCGCAGGCAGCAGGTTGATGTTGCGGGTATATTGTCAGATGAGAGTGAGGTTTTTTGCGGAGTGCCCCAGGGCTCGGTGTTAGGCCCTGTTCTTTTCCTTATAATGATTAATGATTTCGATAAATGTATGTCCTGTACTTCTGTGATTTATGTGGATGACTCCACTTTCTTAAATAGTCAAGGTACCTTTAGTGAACTCATGGTGCTGTCCAAACTTTCCCTCAATGAAGCTAGGAACTGGTTAAGTGTCAATGGGTTTTTTATGAATACTGAAAAGACTCAAACTATTGTTTTTAGGTTAGGTCGCACACCTGAGGAAGAAAAGAATTTTTCGTCAAGTGTAAATTTATTAGGCATAGATTTGGATAGTGATTTAAGCTGGTCAACCCATTTATATAACTTAAGTAAGAAATTGTCAAGAGTTTTATTTTTAATTAGACGTCTAAGAGATTTTGTTCCTCCTTTGTATGTTAGATCTGCGTATTTTGCTTTTTTTTCAGTCTGTTAAAGTATGGTCTGTTACTGTGGGGTAACTCCACCCACATTCTAATAATTTTAAAGCTTCAAAAAAAGGCTGTAAGACTGTTGACCAATTCAGGGTTGAGGGACCATTGTAAACCTCTTTTTAAAGCAAAAGGTATCCTGACAACTGTACATTTGTATATATTAGAGTGTGTTATTTTTGTAAAACAAAATTCACATTTCTTTAGCTCAAGAAATAATTTTCACTCATATTACGCAAGGGGAAGATCTGCTTTGGATAGGCCCTACACCAGACTAACAACAGCACAGCAAAGTTTTGCTAGTATATCAGTAAAAATAGTAAATTGTTTTGCAAGTGAAATACTTGACATTCCTTGTACTCGGCTAAAACAAAAGTTAATGGTTTAGCTTGCTGGCCACCTTTTTTACAATTTGGATGAATTTTTTGCAGAACACAATTGCAATGGTAAAATTGTTATCTAGTTCTTACTTAGACCCTAGTCAACTGTTACCTAGTCTTTCAAACACTTTGTTTGAGTACCTCACTTTTGTTTCATATATATAGTTCTGTGTTTTTCTTATTTTAGCTTTTATTTTCTTGTTGTCATTGTTATATTTAAGTTTAGTGAAGATTCCATGTTATAGACCATGTTATACTATCTAGAATCTATGGCCCTTTTTTTGTTAACGAGGTCTATTGTAACATATGTTATTTAATGACCAATAAAGATTTATGATTTATTTATGATTTATGATTTATTGGATTACGTTAAAATTACTAGAATACATATAAAAAATTAATGATCTTAGATTTTAGTAACAGGGACATAAGTGAGTTTTATAACTCACGACGTGGTTTCCGCAGGCGAGACTGGAGGGAGCAGGAATATTGATCAAATTGTGCAAAAGACGGAAAATCGAAGATACAAAATTGGAAATACCTTGCGATGTGTTTATGAAGATATTTTTGTAGGTAAAAATTTTTGATGTGTGAAAACGTTCATAAAAGCTCGAAAATAAATAAAATAATAAAGTAAATAAACCAAACTTAATAACTGTTTTAATAAAAAATGTACCGTTTTATAACTTTGCTCTTGAGGAGACACGATAACTAATATTAAATCCCACACTACAGTACATGTTGCTGGAATAAACTCTTTTACTAGAACTGAAACTTTAGTCGCCAGGGAGTTGTCGTTTCTCCTTCGCCAGTCCTTGTTCGAGCTGTTCTCTCTGTTTGTACAACCAAATAGGCCTACATGGTGCTTTTAAAATAAAATTTAGAAACAAAACACTTGATGTAAAAGAAAACGTAGATCTTTTATGCTATAAAATAAGAAGTGTGCTGCGTTTAGCACTCTTAAACAAAAAAAAAAAATAATAAACAAATATCTTATCACCACTAATGGTTTTCATGATAAATATGTGAATGCCCTATATTTTATGAAAAAATAAATATAAAGGTTTATTTATAATTCAAACTTATAATATAAAAACAACTAAATATCCCAACACAAAAAATTACGATACTAGTCTATTTTGGTGCCCTATTTTAAAATCAGTTAATTTACACAATTTATGATCGTGGTTCCAAATACATTCAGAGTCACATGAACTTTAACAGGTTATACAATGCGTAAAATAACAGTGTTCTCGAAAGAAGGTCTTCTCTAAGAACTCTGGAACAGCCATTAAGGTACCGGTATTTCAGCAACCGCAACAATTAAAACACAAAAAAACTTTAAAAATTTTTCTTCTTTTCTCTTGTACACTTTCTCCATCCATAAATATTACGTATCGACATCTGTACCAAAGTGAACCAATACAGTTTCCTGTCTCTTCTGTTCTGAAAAGCTAAGGAATGTTTTATTTATGTTTACAGTCAATGTAACACTGACAACGTCAGCATCTATCAGGGGTCGACGACAACCAGCACTTTACTCAACACCATCTGTGGCAACAAGAAACAGGAGCTTGTTTTCTCCGGACCTAGCCTTCTAATAGCTTTTAAGTAAGTAATTGTAATTTTTGGAATTGACTTAGAGGGTTTAGGTTTGGTTATTTTACTTATCAAACTTTGTTTGAAGTAAGTTTTTGTGTGGACAATAAATCCTATCCTTAAAAAAATATGTTGTTTAGTGTACTTTTGATCCAAACGTAGTCACACTATAATACCCTTTGAAGAAACAATGTGACAATTTATTTACTATATATTTATGGAAAAACATTGCCATTATAAGTAAAAGTATGAGTGAGATGGTACTTTCTCTTTTTTGACAATTATTTTTTGCTAGCATCATTATTTTTTTTAACTAGCATTAAATACGCACTGCATTATGCCACTTTATCCAATTGCTGATTCCATAATGAAACACTGATATAGATAGGTACCAATAAATATCAAATAAATTAAAATTACACATTGTTATACTGGTATATTCTGTAAAAATGTTTTCTCAATGGTTCAAACAACATTTATTTTATTGTAAATTTTAAGATGCTCATGATCCAGGTCAAGTAGTAAAATAAGCTTTAAAATAGTTAGATTTAATTTAAAATCAGTTTGAAGTCGTCGTAGTGAACTTGCTATCATAGTGAACAAAGCTGTGAGTGAAAGATATTATACGATAAGCAGAAGCAGTGAAAAATCGTTTTTATTTGATATAGCCCATAAGGTATAATTTTACGATAAAGATCAATAATACATTTTAGTATTTTACAACTTATCTTTCTAGTTCGATTAGTTTTAAATAAAGTATTTGTCCATTATCAACATGATTTTTTAGGTCAGGACCTTCTTCACCTCCATATGATTATAACGGCTTCCTGGCCTCTCTAGAGTTTTGGGACAAAGTTCCAACTACTACTTCTACAGAGGCTCCAGCCATAGGTGTGTCTGTCAAAACCACTGAACAAACGATAATGAGTAAGTATAGTAGTCGTAGAGTAATATAGAAGTTGAGAATTTACTTTTGTCTATCTGTATTTAATAGCATCTCCTCCAATTCAGGAAAATTCTCCTTTAGAACGTTTCGGCCAGAATTATTTTCTGTTGGCTTCTTAATTCAGTACCGTGTTTCGAGTATACCATTTTCACCCTCTTATGTATTGAAAATGGAGTTTTACACAGCATGGGGAGTATGAGGAACAGGTAGAGGAGGAGAATGATGATGAGTATATAAAGGAATTGCTGAAAGACAGTGTAGTTATACTCAAACACGTTTCTCTATTATGAATTCCAGGTGATGGTTCTCAACAAGCCGGGGAGAAGCCTGTCTGCCAGACGGTGTTTTACAGCAACTCCTCCAAGTCAGGACATTTCGACTCCAGGACCTTGTCCAAGGACTTTCATCCCAACTGCTCATTCCTGTTCCTGGGCGATCGGGATGAGGTAGTTCACGTGTCACTGTTCAACTACAAACTCAAGTGAGCAATTGCTGTGATAAGTATCATAAGTTGGAAAGTTTTATCATTCATTCATTTTAATCTTGTATAGCTTGACCCGTTGCTTTTGATCTTCATGTAACATTGGCTTTCACAGAACCACTAGATAAACCTATAACTTAGAATGAGTCCTTAAGATAATTTGAGCAATTCATTATGTCATCGGAAGATAATTTGAGCAATTCATTATGTCATCGGTTGGTATTTTTATTATACAGTAACAGGTTACAAAATTAGTACACCAAATGCAGATAATATTGTCAATGCAGGGATTATGTTCTAACTTGTTTCTAAACCACGACAAAAATAGTTTTAATCAAAGTTGATGATATACTTATCCTTTCCGAAGTAAAAAATCCCTTACGATAAGTACGATCTCTGTTATGCAGATCACTATCCTGCCAGTCGTGGATTGAAAGCTACGACGGAGTGTCGACGGATCTAAAACCAACGTCGAGAATCTGCAGTCCCCTTACGAGAGTTTTAATCAAAGTTGATGATATACTTATCCTTTCCGAAGTAAAAAATCCCTTACGATAAGTACGATTTCTGTTGTGCAGATCACTATCCTGCCAGTCGTGGATTGAAAGCTACGATGGAGTGTCGACGGATCTAAAACCAACGTCGAGAATCTGCAGTCCCCTTACGAGACATGCTAGGGACCCTACAGGAAAGTAAGTTATGCCACAAACAATAGTATACCTGTATCAAAATTTTATTTAAGTGGTAGTGGTTGCTTGTAATCCAGGTTTTGAGTTTTAAATAGGAATAAATCCTTGATCAAACTAAATTTTGGTCAACAGGTTCCAGTCCCAACAGATGTTCGTTTCCACTGGCAACTCTTTATTGCTGTTGCTGAGGAGAATGCCGCCGCAATCTGGCGCTTCTGAAGAGTTCCTGGATGGGGCCTTCCACTTTCACAATGGTTAGGAATATTTTACACTACCTTAGTAGCCATTCTAATAGAAACATAGTAATGGTTCATATAATAAATAGTGATGATGAGAATTATTTACGATACCATACGTAATATGGCTTTAGTTTTTTTTTTAATCTGTTTTAAGAATACCTAACTAACATAAAAATATTTAAAAAAATATTTTATTTTATAGGATACACGCTATTTTATACCAGTTTAGGAGGAAACGGAACGATAAATCAGAAATACCTCAAAACTAAAAATAAAGATTAGCCAAAGCTGATTTTTTGCTAATGATCAACAAACCATGTGAACACAACATAAAAGTCGGTTTGTGCTTTGAGGCTTCGGTTGCTAAGCAACTAATCTCTGGGTGGGACCTATTTAATATGGTTATCATACGCGTCAGGTTTTGTGAACTATTTTACCAAATAAATTAACAGCTTAGCACTGAGAAGATTTGTTTCATATCTACCGTCAAAAGTACTGTAACCCGGGAAACCTCAACTTCCCATATGTAGTTTCTTACAAAAACTATCATCCTGTGTTCATCATACTGTATGATGCCAGTGTTCAGTAGTAGTTAGTAATAGATAGTTTTGGTCAATCTAATTGGGACTTATTGTTGGGTCAATTAACTTAAATCAAATTATTTTACGGTTATGGCCTGGCGGTGTATTTATATTTATGTATAACAATATTCATATATAAAGTGTTTGAGTAAATAGTGGGAACATATTCATTATAAAATTTTAGCACACCCTTTATTAAATTTGTTTATGAATTAGAGCAAGTAATTTTGGTTTTAAACATTTTAAACGTATCCTATTTTAACCCAGTGATACGATGATCCAATTTACTTATCATTAACATAAAAACTCAAAAATGTACCTGATTACGTGTTCGTTAACACCCAAATACCATTCTAGTGTGTATGAAAGCCTCAACATAATTTTTTAAACACAAATGACCATCTTCATGTAGAACCCATTAGTTTTAAAGTTTCAAGTTTTTACAAATTTGGAAACTGTTTCCTACAGAACATGTCCAAGGCACCCTCCAGCCGGACACCCTCTGCACAACTGACTACTACGGGCTCAGCAGCAGTCCACGTGGTCACGTGACAGGTCCTGGTCAGGAACACATCTTCTGGAACGTGGACGGCCGCCTACAGTGTTCCCAGAGGTTCATCCCTGCAGTCAACCAAAGTGTGTCTCTACAGGTCAGAATCAGATTCAGAAATGCTTGGGTTTTAAATGCCTTACATTTACATAATAGAATTCTTAACTCTAGCCTGGAACCGTTTTACCATTCAAACTAGCTCTAGAGGAACACGTACATTTGCACATAGCTGAATGTCCTTGAATGGCCGGATTTGAACCCAAAACCTCACTCTACGAGGCCAGTTCACTCCCCAGTGGTTAGATATTACAGAGTCAACAACTTGGTAGTTTAGTCTCTATTCAGAGATTTGTCTCCCTTTCTGAATAAAACCTTCTTGAGGGCCTAAGAAGCTTATTTGTATAGCTAGAACCATATTAGTTATAAAATAATGTTAATAAAAACAAAAAATGATTTCCTGAGGAACGTTTACCATACTGGATCGTAATAATTAAAATTGATGCTTTGTTTGTTTAAGTCTTCCGGTCTTCTAATAACCACTCGGCTGTGAGGTTCCTCACCGGTACATCGATTACTCGGTTCACCTAGGATTACATTCGTATTATTTTCATATTGAGTGTTGGAGATGTACGATTTTATTACACATATTCTGCCTCTAAGGCCAGAGGTTTTAGTGTTTACGTCATTAGCATTTTGAATATAAGAGTTGATTACCATCTCGAAAAACGTGTTGCCAAGGACTTTTTGTTATTGGGAATTCTATTGTATATTCGGATGGTATTCAACGACAAAATGTTAACAGTCATATTATATGCACCAAATAATTTGGATTGAAATTTATATATTTTTAGCTCTATTTCAACGTTTCTATATTAATGAAATTTTAATTTACGAAAATAAATAAAGACCGCGTGTGCATATTAGCATACTTCCAAATGTTCTAAAGGTTGATTGTAACATAACATTTGAATAACTACCAACGATGACTTGCTGTCATAGAAGGTCATAGAAGGCTTAGATCACTAAGAAATAGCTGGGTATATGTTAAAAATATTTTTACAAAATTATGATATAATTTATTGGTTCTTCATTTTACTAAACGGTTTTTTCAGTATAACAAATAAATGAAATGTAAACACACTATTTAACAAAAAAATTATATAGTTCGGCTTAAGACATCATCTCCAGGCACAATTTATTTTTGTTTCTGAAGAAGGCTTAAGCCGAAATTAAGAATTTATATTTTCACAGTGTGTTAATAATTCATTTATTTGTTATGATATAGCTAGTTTTGGATTGACGGCCGAAACTATTCACTGTAAAAATTAATTATATATAAATATTTGTTAATTCAATGTAACTATAATTTTAATATGCATTTTTTAAAGTAAAAGAAATCCACTTAAATATACTTTAACATTCCCACAAAACATTGAAGCCTGGTACATAAATGAACACATTAAACAATTGAACTATTCCCTCTTGTTAATTCATTCTAGTCGACAATACACACACTAATTACCATTGACGTTGCCTACACGACACCTGGTGAAGGTGGTAATGGTCTGTCAGTCAGAGGGAGGCACAGCTGGTCGGTGAAATGTGGCCATGTCGTACTGACAAGCCGCAGCTGACGATTCAATTAATTATTGCTATATTGACAAGCAACGCCGGTTGAAAAGTGGATTCTGTAGTCTATAGTTAAATTTAATGTGGACTGTAGAGTATATATTATTTGTGTGGGAGTTCTTAGGTAGGTAATGTGAATTAATTGATGAGTACCAGCTTTTGATGGTACATTAATAGTTGAAATAGCGAATTTTTAGTTAATTAACTTGTTTCCAGAAAAAAAAAACACTAGTGGCAATGTAAGTTCCTTTTTATTTAAAGTAAAATTTTGCGTTCAACCTTTTAAGCTCATGCCTACATCTGTCGCAACAGTTAAACTACTGTATATCCTTTTAAACTTCTTTCAGAGCTCTATGCACCTATAACTCAACCGAACTGCTGATAGCTATACTTGACACTTGGTAACCTATGAGTCTAGTGATGAAGGCTTTTGGTTGAACGATGTTCTTAGTTCCAGACCATAAAATCCGATCAATGGTCAAGTGGTCCAGGACGTGTTTCTGAATCTCTTCTCGACCAAATCTATAGGATAGCTGAATAGGAGTTTGTGCAAGAGCATTTTGAGGAAAACCACATAGTTTTTGAATTTTTTTTACTAGATGCTAATGAACATTATAGTTATTGGTATTCACCAGACATATAAAATAAGGGATATTGCAGCTCATTATGTAATTTTATTTTAATTTATAACTGATGTTGAGACCTGAATTTACCATATATTTTACAGTCCAAGATGAACAATTTTAGAGCATGTTGATTTTGAGGTAAAAAAGGAATAGTCCATCATGGGGCTTAAAATCATCCCTAGTCACACACGGTTTGTTTACAATATTGCAGCTTAAATTTATCTTAAAATTACGATTTCTTAAATGTATTCTAAAATACATAAATGCCAATATTATGTTTTCCGTAAATTTAAAATGATTTCGTAAACATAGCCTACAAAAGAAATAATTATTTAATTCAATTTACGAATCACTTTTTCTTGATTAGGACTGGTCAATATTTTAAAACTTTCAATACACCCCTAAACATATTACTGTCATACAAGCATTGCATTATGCCAATCCTCCTGGTTAATTAACGCAACTTAATAGAAATATAAAAAAACCACGTAACAATTTTAATCAATGAATTGAATACTAAACAATGAATTAGGTAGAACAAATTTGAAATGCATATGTTCCTCATATAGTTGCCATTTTATTGGCTAACAGAAAACCATTATTACGAGTATATTGTTAAAATCCATACTGTAAAAGGTATTGTACGAACATATAGCCATGCGAAAATTTACCCTAAACGATATACTTGACTAAGACCAATGCAAATATCCAAATCGAGTTAAATACTAATCCTTTGAAGGGTGACGCATCTGCCATCCACTCTGAACCGCCAACGCTCTACTCTATATATGTATTTGATGGGCAAAACTAGCAATCCCACATTCCAACCGTGTAATTAAACAGGCTCTGTCAACACTGACATAGCATCCGTCAATTCTGTGTCATCAATGCTCCAAGGGTTATTAATTAGGGGGACCTCGGTTTGATGATAGCGTTGCATGACGTTTGATGACAGATCACATGTCAGCAATGCCTGCGTGATGTGCATTGGTTGGTCTATCATTCAATATATTTTATATTTGTATCAAACTTCGGTTAAGTACAAACAATATTTCTTAAAATGCCTTCGTAATGAGTCTTTTGTGACTTTTTCTTTGCAAAATATATTGTTCTTAATAGATGAATATTTTTGGGTGTAACTCACCTTTTTGAAATAAGGAGAACCCAGTTAATGTCATTACAGTATACAGACTGTCCCAAAAGTCCCGGACCGGTTTAATATTTTCTAAACGACAACAGATAAAACAATAAGATTTGGTACATCAACACCACACCTAAAAATCTACTTTTTTGAGGAAATATAAATTTTTTGTCACATCATGGGGACGTCCCGCAAGGAGTCAGAAGGAAATCTTAAATAGAAGCATAGGTTGACATGTACATCAAATTAAAGGTCTTTCCTAGCAGAATATAATGCTGCAAATTTGAACTCAAACGGACAACCAAGTCAAGAATGGCAGTGGTTCAAAGATTAATTTAATTTGCATTTGGGGGCACAGCCCCAAGATGCGTCAGCCCTAGGAATCGGAAAAAAATTGTTGACGTAAGCATAGGTCGATTTTATGCACATCAAATTAAAGGTCTTCACTAGTAGATACAATGCCGTAAATTCAAGCTCAAAAGAACGCCTGAGTAAAAAATGACAGTCGTTCAAAGATTCAAAATGGCAGGTTCAAGAAATCTTTGAACGGCTGCCATTTTTTACTCAGGCGTTCTTTTGAGCTTGAATTTACGGCATTGTAATCTACTAGTAAAGGTCTTTAATTTGATGTGCATGTCAACCTATGCTTCTATTTAAGATTTCCTTCTGACTCCTTGCTGGACGTCCCCATGATATGACAGAAAATTAATAGTTCCTTAAAAAAGTAGATTTTTAAGTGTGGTGTTGATATGCAAAATCTTATTGATTTATCTGTTGTCGTTTGGAAAATATTAAACCGGTCCGGGACTTTTGGGACAGTCTGTATATCACACACAACACAAATTAAAATATAATTACCTACTAAAGTTCTGTAACTCAAACGTTAGGTCGCACCAATATCAACGTGTGGCGTTTTATAACTACATTCGTACTTTCTCACATAAACGGTGCAAGCACCTAACAATGACTCCAAATATAAATATTTTTGTTTCACAAAAAAAAGGATGCACATAGGAACAAATGGTGACATTTTTAGTAAGTTTTAGAAAATCAATAAAACGTTTATATTTTTTCTGTAAGTAAGAACTATACGTATATTAAAGTAACAAAATAAACATTTTACCATAGTGTAACGTTTTTAAAAGGATAATCAAGAAAAAAAACAAAGGATATGAAATTAGCCTGACTTTATCGAATACTTCATAACATTCTCAATCACAGTTTTGCTATACAACATGCAAATTAATTTAAATCCCACCTAGGGATATGATTTATTATCTTAATTAAGTGTGTGTAGGTAAAAAAAATATAAAACACTTAGTAAAATTATCACAAATAATGGATTAGCCTTCAGTAAAAATAAATATTCCCGTAATTGATATATTATATGTGCCGTGTTTGCCTACCAGTCTAATTGTCATGTTTGGTTTGTCAGGTGACAATGATCGGCTTGTCAGCTGACACCAACTGTCATACAGAATGCGGTGACAGTAGCTGTCGATGCGTCTTTACCAATAAGCAGCTTTCTGAGATAAATCATCTAAAATTGGAAGCCGAGGGTGGCTTGGTTGTAGCCTGCCTTTGTGGGGATTTCCAGGTAAGCTTCACTTTTGTATGTTCTATTTTCATTTTTTTATATTAAATTGTCACATTATCTTCAAAGTAGTATAGGCTACGAAATAGATTTAAAAAAATCATTAGGTATTTGGGAAAGTTGCACAAAACATGTAAGCTTAGTCATGGATTAATTGTTTACATACAAACATAAATGAAAAGTAGCATCATGTAAAAAAAGGGGGGGATATTCGGACAAAATCAGTTATCAGATGTTTGTTAAACTAAATAACAAAAGTGGCAGCAGAATCACCAGTCAGCTGACAATATGACGTCACTCATCCGTGTTCCTCAGTAGCTTACGTATTTCAACCGTTTTTGATAGCTACTGACGTGTTTATTCCTTGGGCAATAAGTGTTTATAAATACTAGAACCTTGATTTGGGTTTTCCAATCAATTCCTACATTTACGATTGTTGCACGTACAACAGAGTGCCTTCAATGTATATTTACTCCAGTATCGACACTAACTAGAACTGTATGCATTTACAGCAGTTATGGCTGCCTGTAGGACTACGCAGCTGGTCTCCCATTAAGCTTGTGTACAACGTAGCCCACTACAGCTGGGAGACGAAGGGGTTCCAGTACTCTGCTGACTACAAGTTTATAACTGACTAGAACTGTATGTATTTACAGCAGTTATGGCTGCCTGTAGGACTACGCAGCTGGTCTCCCATTAAGCTTGTGTACAACGTAGCCCACTACAGCTGGGAGACGAAGGGGTTCCAGTACTCTGCTGACTACAAGTTTATAACTAACTGGAACTGTATGTATTTACAGCAGTTATGGCTGCCTGTAGGACTACGCAGCTGGTCTCCCATTAAGCTTGTGTACAACGTAGCCCACTACAGCTGGGAGACGAAGGGGTTCCAGTACTCTGCTGACTACAAGTTTATAACTAACTGGAACTGTATGTATTTACAGCAGTTATGGCTGCCTGTAGGACTACGCAGCTGGTCTCCCATTAAGCTTGTATACAACGTAGCCCACTACAGCTGGGAGACGAAGGGGTTCCAGTACTCTGCTGACTACAAGTTTATAACTAACTGGAACTGTATGTATTTACAGCAGTTATGGCTGCCTGTAGGACTACGCAGCTGGTCTCCCATTAAGCTTGTATACAACGTAGCCCACTACAGCTGGGAGACGAAGGGGTTCCAGTACTCTGCTGACTACAAGTTTATAACTAACTGGAACTGTATGTATTTACAGCAGTTATGGCTGCCTGTAGGACTACGCAGCTGGTCTCCCATTAAGCTTGTGTACAACGTAGCCCACTACAGCTGGGAGACGAAGGGGTTCCAGTACTCTGCTGACTACAAGTTTATAACTAACTGGAACTGTATGTATTTACAGCAGTTATGGCTGCCTGTAGGACTACGCAGCTGGTCTCCCATTAAGCTTGTGTACAACGTAGCCCACTACAGCTGGGAGACGAAGGGGTTCCAGTACTCTGCTGACTACAAGTTTATAACTAACTGGAACTGTATGTATTTACAGCAGTTATGGCTGCCTGTAGGACTACGCAGCTGGTCTCCCATTAAGCTTGTGTACAACGTAGCCCACTACAGCTGGGAGACGAAGGGGTTCCAGTACTCTGCTGACTACAAGTTTATAACTAACTGGAACTGTATGTATTTACAGCAGTTATAGCTGCCTGTAGGACTACGCAGCTGGTCTCCCATTAAGCTTGTGTACAACGTAGCCCACTACAGCTGGGAGACGAAGGGGTTCCAGTACTCTGCTGACTACAAGTTTATAACTAACTGGAACTGTATGTATTTACAGCAGTTATGGCTGCCTGTAGGACTACGCAGCTGGTCTCCCATTAAGCTTGTATACAACGTAGCCCACTACAGCTGGGAGACGAAAGGGTTCCAGTACTCTGCTGACTACAAGTTTATAACTAACTGGAACTGTATGTATTTACAGCAGTTATGGCTGCCTGTAGGACTACGCAGCTGGTCTCCCATTAAGCTTGTATACAACGTAGCCCACTACAGCTGGGAGACGAAGGGGTTCCAGTACTCTGCTGACTACAAGTTTATAACTAACTGGAACTGTATGTATTTACAGCAGTTATGGCTGCCTGTAGGACTACGCAGCTGGTCTCCCATTAAGCTTGTATACAACGTAGCCCACTACAGCTGGGAGACGAAGGGGTTCCAGTACTCTGCTGACTACAAGTTTATAACTAACTGGAACTGTATGTATTTACAGCAGTTATGGCTGCCTGTAGGACTACGCAGCTGGTCTCCCATTAAGCTTGTGTACAACGTAGCCCACTACAGCTGGGAGACGAAGGGGTTCCAGTACTCTGCTGACTACAAGTTTATAACTAACTGGAACTGTATGTATTTACAGCAGTTATGGCTGCCTGTAGGACTACGCAGCTGGTCTCCCATTAAGCTTGTGTACAACGTAGCCCACTACAGCTGGGAGACGAAGGGGTTCCAGTACTCTGCTGACTACAAGTTTATAACTAACTGGAACTGTATGTATTTACAGCAGTTATGGCTGCCTGTAGGACTACGCAGCTGGTCTCCCATTAAGCTTGTGTACAACGTAGCCCACTACAGCTGGGAGACGAAGGGGTTCCAGTACTCTGCTGACTACAAGTTTATAACTGACTAGAACTGTATGTATTTACAGCAGTTATGGCTGCCTGTAGGACTACGCAGCTGGTCTCCCATTAAGCTTGTGTACAACGTAGCCCACTACAGCTGGGAGACGAAGGGGTTCCAGTACTCTGCTGACTACAAGTTTATAACTAACTGGAACTGTATGTATTTACAGCAGTTATGGCTGCCTGTAGGACTACGCAGCTGGTCTCCCATTAAGCTTGTGTACAACGTAGCCCACTACAGCTGGGAGACGAAGGGGTTCCAGTACTCTGCTGACTACAAGTTTATAACTAACTGGAACTGTATGTATTTACAGCAGTTATGGCTGCCTGTAGGACTACGCAGCTGGTCTCCCATTAAGCTTGTATACAACGTAGCCCACTACAGCTGGGAGACGAAAGGGTTCCAGTACTCTGCTGACTACAAGTTTATAACTAACTGGAACTGTATGTATTTACAGCAGTTATGGCTGCCTGTAGGACTACGCAGCTGGTCTCCCATTAAGCTTGTATACAACGTAGCCCACTACAGCTGGGAGACGAAGGGGTTCCAGTACTCTGCTGACTACAAGTTTATAACTAACTGGAACTGTATGTATTTACAGCAGTTATGGCTGCCTGTAGGACTACGCAGCTGGTCTCCCATTAAGCTTGTATACAACGTAGCCCACTACAGCTGGGAGACGAAGGGGTTCCAGTACTCTGCTGACTACAAGTTTATAACTAACTGGAACTGTATGTATTTACAGCAGTTATGGCTGCCTGTAGGACTACGCAGCTGGTCTCCCATTAAGCTTGTGTACAACGTAGCCCACTACAGCTGGGAGACGAAGGGGTTCCAGTACTCTGCTGACTACAAGTTTATAACTAACTGGAACTGTATGTATTTACAGCAGTTATGGCTGCCTGTAGGACTACGCAGCTGGTCTCCCATTAAGCTTGTGTACAACGTAGCCCACTACAGCTGGGAGACGAAGGGGTTCCAGTACTCTGCTGACTACAAGTTTATAACTAACTGGAACTGTATGTATTTACAGCAGTTATGGCTGCCTGTAGGACTACGCAGCTGGTCTCCCATTAAGCTTGTGTACAACGTAGCCCACTACAGCTGGGAGACGAAGGGGTTCCAGTACTCTGCTGACTACAAGTTTATAACTAACTGGAACTGTATGTATTTACAGCAGTTATGGCTGCCTGTAGGACTACGCAGCTGGTCTCCCATTAAGCTTGTGTACAACGTAGCCCACTACAGCTGGGAGACGAAGGGGTTCCAGTACTCTGCTGACTACAAGTTTATAACTAACTGGAACTGTATGTATTTACAGCAGTTATGGCTGCCTGTAGGACTACGCAGCTGGTCTCCCATTAAGCTTGTGTACAACGTAGCCCACTACAGCTGGGAGACGAAGGGGTTCCAGTACTCTGCTGACTACAAGTTTATAACTAACTGGAACTGTATGTATTTACAGCAGTTATGGCTGCCTGTAGGACTACGCAGCTGGTCTCCCATTAAGCTTGTGTACAACGTAGCCCACTACAGCTGGGAGACGAAGGGGTTCCAGTACTCTGCTGACTACAAGTTTATAACTAACTGGAACTGTATGTATTTACAGCAGTTATGGCTGCCTGTAGGACTACGCAGCTGGTCTCCCATTAAGCTTGTGTACAACGTAGCCCACTACAGCTGGGAGACGAAAGGGTTCCAGTACTCTGCTGACTACAAGTTCATAACTGACTCCTATTGTGGCCACCACACCACTACCCAACATTCAGGTATTATATTCATATGTAGGATATTCATTATGTCATCAAGTGCGATATTATTAACGGAGCCGATGCCCTAAACACTTTTGGGTGTCCAGTGCCTATCCACATCAGCCTCTTATGCAGTTCCGAATGTTCTTATGCAGTTGTCTTATGCTTCTATTATGCATTATATTGTTTGCTTGAAATCTATGCTTTTACCAGCTATAGATGATGGATTAAAGACAAAAAAGACAAACAGCTATTTCACAAGTGTATCCTGGCTACGTCCAAATTCACCAACATTTTTGGGGTCGTTTCTAATGTCCAAATTCACCAACTTTCTATCTGGAGCAGGTACGATATTTCTCCCGGCGGGCGGGGAAGGAATTCCGAATAGTTTGCCCTCGCCTGCTCCGTCTCGTCTCGGCGAGAGTGTACTGCTTAGCCCTAATAGTACTGTTTAAGCTGTGATTGTTTCAGGCAGCTTTAGGTTAGGTTAGGTTAGGTTAGGTTAGGTTAGGTTAAGTTAGGTTAGGTTAGGTTACAGTACACTCTCGCCGAGACGAGACGGAGCAGGCGATGGCAAACTATTCGGAGGGAATTCCTTCCCCGCCCGCCGGGAGAAATATCGTACCTGCTAAAGGTAGAAAGTTGGTGAATTTGGACATTAGAAACGACCCCAAAAATGTTGGTGAATTTGGATCTGGCCGTGTATCCTAGAGGCTTCAAGGTACCTACTAGTAGGTTGTTCCAAGTGCATCAGGTATTTTCTCGATGAGTGTCGCTCTTTAGTCGAACTGCTCGTATAATTAATATATATAATAACTTACGTGTTGTTTTAATGATTTATTTTGATTATTGGTTTAGTTTAGGTTGAAAGTATTTACTAAACCATGTCTCCAACGTTTAAAGGTGATTATTTTCCCAGCTTATCAATGTTTATGATCAACAGGTTTCATAGAGTCAGGAAACTTAACTGAGACCGGTCAATTAAACCATTTCTTCCACCAAACCTGCACTTGGCTGCTAGACGCCTACGTAGAAAGACAGCTGACCATACAGTTTGCAAGCAATCAAAATCGTAAGTATATGTTATCTATTAAAGAACGTTACAACGTTATTGACCCGTTGTACATCAATAATGGATGAGGCTGTTTTTTTTGTGGTAGAGGTTATAGGTTACGTAAAATTGTCAAAAAGTTAAAATATTTGTCCACGGGATAACGAGTTTTATGAATGACCCTTTTACCAATTTTACTATTATAATGTGCTTGATCCGATGTGGGGGTTCTCTTGTTTGGATGGTGAATTCCCAATATAACATATAAATACCTCACATTCTCAATTAATGTTTACTACTATTCATAAGGTATTTGATACCCTCCAATTTCCCCAGGCCCGTGCTCGGCCTGGAACCTGACTGTACACAAGTACGCCGAAGAGAACTCAGAACGAACTGGAGAAATGTTGACGCACTTCTGTCCACGTCACAAGGTGGCCAACTTTTCCACCGAGTACGGACTCAATATCGTGGTCATTAAGTAAGTACACCAAGCATCAGTGGGAACTTTTTTGTAGAATCTGAAAAGCAGTTGAACTGTTCTATCAATGTAAGTTTTAGTGTTTTAAACACTTATTTTATAAACACTAAGACAGCTCTGCTGGTATTGATCAAGGAGGAGGTGATTAGCAGACAATTATCCACTTTAAAACGTTTTCAAAGGTTGTTTTGCTCTTGTCCACTAGATAATAATTCATTAATTGTAACTGTACACTTTCTATACTACCGGGTACTCAAAATTAGTGAACCGTAGTAACCTTAGCTATGTAATTTCCGTTCATAAAACCATGATTTGCAAAACACCTATCAAATACTAATAAACTAACGAAATTTTACAGACGATTAGATGTGTGTTAGTTATGTCACAAAAGATGTATACTTTTGTATCCTAGTAGACTTTTTTCCGTTGTGTGTTTATGAATTTGTTGTACCAACCACGAAACCACTCATACGAAGATGTTTAAAATACTATGATCGATACTAATTTAGGCCTAGCTGTTTGAACAGATTTTAACCGTGAAGTATATATTTGCATTTAGACAATACATTTATAGATTTGTGTTATTTCAGACTCACTGCCATGTCGTCCATCCCGCCCGAGTTCCAAATCAAATGGCGATCGCAGGTGGCTCGAGCCAGCACTCGCACGGTCGTGTCAGTCCCCGTGACAGCGTCACGCGCGACACGTCACCTCTACGTGACACCAAGCGTCACCATGGCTACCGTAACGCTCTTTGTGCTCAGTGTGACTCTAAGATGAACCCTCCCTCTACCAGACTGTACATAATGTATTTTCTAAGCATTGGTCTACGATTTAAAACATATCGTGGTGTTTTCCAAGAGACTGTTGGAGCTTAGGCGCTGAATGAAAAGTGTTATAAGATAGTGTTATAAGATTTGATAAGGGGTGTGGAATAGTCAAACATTGTTATCGGGGAAGACAGTGTTCTGCCTGAGCGTAATGGCTGTGGAAGGTGTGCGTTGAGAAGATAGACATTGAAAGCAACCAAGCGCTTCGTAATATTTATAGGTTCATTGTAAACTAGTATGGGCCTTTCCTAACCTAACGGCCAATATGATGAAATTACTGAGACTGCTTAAAACTTCAGTTCAAAACACAATTTTAAAGTTATTTAATTGAACGTAATTAATCGGCCTACTAATAATAATGAAATGTGCTTAGAAACATTTGGGTAACTAAATGAAGTTTATTAATAATAATAAGGTTAAAATTTTGTAATAGCAAAAAAAGGAGAAATGAATAATTTACACTTCCTTTTAAGATTTTTTACACTAGTTATAAACTAAAAAGTCGACAGAGAAAATTCGAAAATACTTTAATCCTTTTGAGTATTGCCTGAGCAGAATTAATTAAATACAGTAATTTCTTCATCACCTTTAACCATGCTCAAACATTTTTCACCTTCGTTTCCTCATAATCTTCGTCCATAAGCGCACATTTATTTTTACATTAAATGTTACATGTGATGTTTCCTGTAAGTGGTGGACATACTGTAGTCATGATGGTGCTAAATAGGGTAGGCTAGACTAGGTGCTAAATTCCACAGGACTGCTGATAAGCTTCTGTTCATGTTTAATGTTGAGGACTTTAGGTAAACCCTTTGTTAACCTTTGTCAATTTTGTTTCAAATGTACAAAAACGAATAAACGTTTTCTATAAGTGTTTGTTTATATTACCCTAGCATCCATTATACTTTAATACTTTTCAAAAAAATGGCAACCAAGTAGGTATTTTAAGCCAAGTAGGAACGGAGATGAGTGTAGGATGAGTGGCGCGATTTTTAGTGACTATATGTATATTTCCCTAAAGAACGCCACTAAAATTTTGCTTGCAGAATAGTTAGTATATATATATTTTTTGGTTCTTAAATGCTAGACACGATCCCGAGATTGTTTTCAAAATTAGCTCATGCTAGACCAAGGAGTTGCAGCATTATCACTTTGGGGATTTGGCGGGATTTTAACCCTGGACCGAAGTCCCGTGCTCTAACCACTACACCAGCTCGCTCCCACAAAAATAGTAAATTAGTTTAGCATTTTTGCTAGTTGGAATATTTTGTTACTTACATAACATTTTGTTATACATTCGGCAAACATTATTAAAAAATTTAGTGTGGCCAGCAAGCACTATAAATGTTAAAATTCTTGAACTCTATAATTGATTCTGATACTTTGAGATGTTGCAGTTTAAACCACATATATACAGTACACGAATATTTGGATATTTTATCACCAATGCTTGTAAACATTATGTGAAAATAGTCTGGAACGAGACTGCAGTGCAGTATTTGAGACAGTGTTAACACAAGAGTGTTAACTGAAATAATGGAATAAGATATATGAGGAAACAGATAGATTTATTGAATATTGTCCTAACTAATTATCTGAGTTGCACTTTGTAAGATCCAATTAGTAACTTGTTAACTCAGAGTCAACATCATTAACTTAAATACCTTTGGCTTTGATGTGCACTTCAAAAGTAAATTAGCGATTCCTTAGATAAAGAAGTAAATAACAAATACGTTATTTATTTGATAGGTTGTATTTGTTCGAAACCGAGTTTGGTTTCTTATATTATATTAATATGTTTTCATTAGTTTTTTTTTATTAAGGTCAAAAGGGGTATTGGGATACGTAATAGTTATAACTTTATGTTTACAGTGGTAAACCATTTTCGTAATTCAAGTTTAGGTTGTGGATCTGACCATAGGTTTACTAACTGAGCCAGATTTTTCCACGGCATTTTAAACATTTAGATTAGATTTTGTTTAAAAGATCAGTGAAGATTTTAAATTAAATAGTCTACAACAATGTCACTAGCACTATATTTGTATAGTAACATATATATTTTTATTCCTCTTATTACCAATAAGGAAAGTATAATGTTATCCTGATTAATTTTTTACACACCAATTGCTTAAATTTCTTTAAATTTAATTTCAATTAACCTCAATGGAATTATTTAGGCAACCCATTAAACCAAAATGCTTTCCCCAAAAACTTTGATATTTGTATCCATGGTCTGTGGCTCTACAAAAAAGATCGACAATATATCTTCTCCTATTCACAAATGCAAGTCATAACCAGTGCAATCGACACATTCCAATAGCCAGTGATGCAACTGTTTAGAGTAGCTAATATTCTACGTAACACGCGTTTTATGTTTTGCCGCTAAAATGTTTAATTCGGTCAGTTCAGGCTATATGTCAGTTTACTAAGCTTATTTTGACTAGTTGATACTTAAACAACGTTAATTAATTGTCAACACTATCTATATCTACAATACGTAAAGCCAGTTTTTGTGAACACTACTCCCCCTTTTTTGAGGTGTTATAAAATTCGTCTCAGTTTTCCAATTGGTTTTATAATCTAAAAATGTTACCCTTAAGGACGGAGGCTCTCTCAAATGTCGATTTCCCCCCATAAGAATTACATAGAACAAATAAAAATAATAGATGTTTATTAAAAAAAATATAAGCAGCTTTTTTGGAAATTAAAATATTATTTGTAATATTCAAGAGGTTATAGACCAATGTAAACAGTTAATAGGTTTTGTTGGAAGAACTGAGAATGTCTCATGTTCAAAGAAGAAATATTGAAAACAGGAGGAGGAGACAATTAATAACAGATCTTATGCTTATAAGAAGAGTAAAGAAGAGAGGCCTTGTCTAACAGTAAGGAATCCAAATACACAATCACTTAGTGTGATAAATATTGTTTGCAAGGTCTGCTATGTAACTTATTTTGGAAGTGAGGAAATACACGAAGAATATGCACATCGTGTTGTCAAAGTGGTAAATTAAATTTGCCTAATGTCAGATCAAATGAATACATCCAAGAAATGTAAACTGGTAACAGCTGTAGGTAAGTCGGAAACATTTGTAGAAAACACTAACAAACAAAGCCAGCTATTGAAAAATTATGAAATATGTACAGGAAGTGTTTATTATATCAAACTGTTATTAACAGCGTGAGTATTTCCATAGTTTACTAGCTGGTTTGTGGCTATCGTTGAGTCTTTTAAACTCATAGAAAACTATAACTGTTATTAGTGTTTCGAGCAACAGGTACACGAGTATAAAATTAATCACCGTAGTGGTAGCTACTCAGAGTTTGGAGTATTAAGTGGTTGGTCATCAGTGCTAGTGGCAGGTTACATTATGGAATAACTTAGCTTAAACGGCCAAAGTAATAACGTCCCATCGCTTACAACACTGCCTTAGTGTGTAATAACGTATAGCTTTATAGTCTAATACATCCAGAACATTCATGGCTGATGCAAAGTGACGTTTTATAATATGTTTGATATAAACTCAAGCTTGATTTCACCTTACAATATAATGTTGTTATTTTTATAACTCATCCAGAATTATACTCTGATATGTGTACATTTGTGATAATCTGGAGTGACTGAATAAATACCATAACACAAATGGTCAATAGTAAAAATCCAAACATTCTTCATGGCAAGTACGTAAATGGGATGTTAATATTGGATACTCTGTATTTGAGTTGTATCATACCACTTGGACTAATAATCTGTTTAAATCCCCAACTCCCTTCAGATCTCCCCTATAGTTACCAGTAGTAATGATAGATTCAATAAATTATTTTACCAATGTAACCAAATGTTATTTTTGGATTCTGTTAAATCGATCACACAGAGCTTCCAAGCAAAACTGTAATAAGGTATCATAAATAGCTCAACTAAATGAAAAAACTAACTATTTTAAGGTTGAGGTTTGGAAAAAGCATTATTAGAACATATTTTTAATGTGAATAACGAAATATTATTAGGTAGATGTATTAACTAATTTAATTACTGCCAGTCAACTAACAGACTTATCCCTGTGTCGGAATGGTATGGTTTTTAGAGGATGAAGTGGCTGGTCAACTTATTAGAAGTCGGTAAGTCACACCAACTACCAATGCCTTTTCGTGTGTATTTTTTCTGATTCCGTGACAGAAAATCCAATTAATAATTCAGAATTTAGGATGAAACAAGGTTCCTTCTTCTAATAGAATGACTTAAAGGTACCTTTATTTACATTATTTAGATGTATATTAATGTATAAAAGGATTAAGGGGTTGAAATTTATTGTAAATGTAACCGTAATAGTATATTACGTTACTATTCCTAAAAATAGGTGTTTACTGGACGAGTGTGGCCGTTCCGGAGCGAGACGAAGTCGAGTACGGTATTGCCATACGAGTCCGGTTAACACATTTTGGACGAGTGACGTACGATATTTTACGCCATACTACTCTAAGCCAACCAATAACAAATCCTTATATATACCCACCGACTAAAGGACTTACAATCACTACTTTAAGATTGTACCTTTAAGAGAGGTTATGTTTTGTTTATAACCACTCATTGCCAAATACAATCAGATGGTTGGTGTCTCTAGAATCTCTGGAATATAATCTGTTAATTTGCACAAATGTCTAATAAGTTTATTTTTAATAAAAAGGAAACTAATTTTCTAATAATAAAAATGTATGTAAACATTATGGGTAATTGCTTGTTAGCTGCAATTATCGGTATTGGTATTTAGTTAGCTGTTAAATAACTTTAAAATACTGAAACCTCTACTATTAGTACTTTTATACTATCATGGTCCATTTTTGTGGAAGCAGAATATGTATTCTATATTCATCCCCCAAAAATATATAGTTTACCATAAGGTTACCTAACGACATTTATTTACGAACAAAGCTGACGTGTTTAAATTCCAAATTTTACACAGGGAGACATTGATTGATGGGTTAAGAACGGAAAAAACTAAATCCTCTACTAACAAAAATGTAATTTTCTCCCTTCTTCTGTCGTGTTTTTTTATTGTTAATATTGGCGTAGTTTTAAGATAATAATGAAGGTAAAAGATTCACATTACGTTTTTTCGTAAAATATTTAAATTTTTAAGAAAATATCAAGTGTTTATTAAAAATCCATGGATACATTTAAACTTATAGAGTTTTCTTATTTTAGACAATCAGTTACCTTTTGCCAACAGTGTATAATATTACTTACTCCTACTGTATTTCAGAGATAAATAAATACAGAACAAAAGCAATCAAGATTTACAAAATCAATATTTCGTTGAAAATATTTTAGTCAAAGAAAATCTCAATGTGATTGTGTATGGTGTTTGGCGCATAAATAATACTACTAGACATAGCGTACCTATTACTGAAATTGTGTATGAAAATGGTATGTTAACCATTGTTGGCTATACTATAAGTTGTATTTATTTATTGTTTAATTTAACTAGAAATAATAAGACAAGACTCATTATTTAGGTAAACTATCGTCTAAATTTTACTACTTCCAACTCATGACACATGCCACTACTTGCAGAGATGATAAACTCTCTGCTAAACGGATTTTTAAACTTGGGGTAACCCATTTACTTTTTTATTATCAAACCTTGACATTCTGCGATTCGTATACGCTAAGTGATACCATTAAATAATGTTATAATCTGATCAAACATGATCTATAATGCAAAAATATGTTTTTAATCATTTCATTGAAATTGTACTTTCACGTTGCAAAAATAGACACATAACTAGGCATATTCTTTAAATTTAAGTTTGCTTGCAACCACAGTAAAAAGGACTTGTATAAATATTTAACATT